CATCGTACGCTGCAGAGGAAATGTCGTCCTTTCCACCTTGTCCATTGCCATGTTTCTGTCTTTCTTGCTTTGTATCAAGAGTTGGATCATAATCAGCAGCAGAGGGATCGTCCTTATCAGTTCCGGCAACAGGCGCATTGGAGTTGACGATGTCCATGTCTTTTCCAATACTACCAGGGAATGCCTCCCCGGATTGTTCAAAGGGGGATGCCGTTGGAGAAGCTATGGAGTTTATATGCATTAGTTTCGTCGATATCAAGATAAGCTTGTCCGAGAGAAACCCACCAGATGCTTCCTTTGCGCTAGTTGGCTCAGTGCCAGGCGTGGATGAATCCGTTTCAACCTCGCCGACGTTCAGTGCTTTGAGATGGAGTGGCGTCGCTTGGCTTCGGTGTTTCGCCCGAATAGCCTCACGGCGTTTCCGGCGAGCTTCAAGTGCATCGACTTCATTAATAGGCTCGGCGAGCTCCGGCTCTTGCGCAACCTCCGGGTTAGGGGTGGTTTCTCTGAGATGGATGTTAGTCACACGTTCTTCCTTGTCCGTAACAGAATACACATACTCGTCAGTCACACGGGCTTGAAGATTAGAAGAAGCCTGCACCTGGTTCTTTTGTTTTTCAGCACCAAGCTCCAAGTCCTGGGTGATGACCGAAGCCTTTACTCGTTCCCTCACCAACTGTTCGGTGGGCAAGCGCCTTCCGGTGTCCGCTGAAGACCTGGGATTGACCACGTTTGAATCAAGTTCGTCGCCTGAATACTGCTTGGGTTTTCTTGGTTCACGGTAAGGGGATCGGCTACGGCTGCGGGTGCGTTGCCGCTTGTCCTTGTGTCGGTCATGTCGGTCATAATCATCACTGTATCGTAGCGCATCTCCATGGGTATCTTCGCGGTCATAGTCGTAGTATGAGTTCGGGCGCCTGTGGGAAGCGGGTCTGTCACGGCGTCTGTCGTCGTACCTAGACCTGTAGTGTCTCGGAGGCTCATGGCGGGGTCGCCGGTCGTAGCTACCATCATAGGACTCGGGAAGATCGTCGTGACTGCGTTTTTGGGTCTTGTTCTCTCTGTACGGGGAGCGAGAGCGGGATCTCGATAGGGACCTGGTCCGCGATCTAGTGCCTTTCAACGATGCGGGAGATCTGGTGGCAGAGGATGGGCTAGCTCTGGTGGGACGGTCAACGGTGGTGCCATTAAGAGGAGGTTTTGACGCAGTTGCCTTCGTCTCTGGGCCTGATTCAACGATCTCACCCTCAGAGGGGACCGATGGGGACCTCGACCTGGGATACGACATGTTTGCAATGTCCAAGGGATTCAACAAAGGCGTGTAGACTCTTCTCTTGTTCACCTCACTCGGCCTTTGGAGGAAGCTTCAACAACAAGGCTCAGTTAGCAAAAGCTCCAGCGACAGTAAGTCTTTTCAAAAGGGTTTGTGAAGTCCAACCGGCTGTAAAAGGCCTGCCTTCACACCAAAGCCTTGTAAAAGTGATTAAAATCCCTGGCGCATAGCTTGCTTAGGGAGTGGGCTTGAAAGGCGGGTAAAAGCACGTGCACAGGATGTTGATTACAACAAGAGATGGATCCAAAGCCCGCCATGGCGAAGGCTCGATGGAGTAGGATAGCACAGTCCACGCTAGGACAGTTGTAGTAGGCGGTCGGTTTGGTTCTGCCGTATACACTGGCAGTAGCCCGGCGGAACATTACCTTTTAAAATTACCCCGCTAACTGTTCTTGCACTAGTCTTCCAGGTATCTTCAATACCAGTCCCTGGTTAAAGGCTTGGTTTCCGGCATGATGAGGGTGTATGGTCTTGAAACAGCACCAATATCAATACCACTAGTAATATCTATAGCAGTACCAAACCCAAACTTCGCCTCAGCCTAGCCACTGAGGGTCTGGATAAGCACCCCTCATATATTTTTTTCTCTCATAACCGTAAACTCACCCCGCTCTATCAAGCTCTCTTCAACTCCCTCTCCCAGTTACTTTATTTAGACAAAATGGGTGGTATCGGCAGAGAAGGTTCGTTCTACTGAATATTCTACTATTCTCGAAATCCAGTTCCCTAATATTTTATGATCTACAGGTGGCAAGGCCAAGCCCTTGAAGGCTGCCAAGAAGGAGAAGAAGGAACTCGATGAGGATGAGCTCGCTCACCAGGCCAAGCTCAGGGCTGGTATGGATTTTTGGACATCCTATTTAGAGGGTCTCAACTGACAACATTCTAGACGCCAAGGCCCGCAAGGAGATGCAGGACGCCGCCAAGGGCAAGAAGGGTCCTCTCAACACCGGCCAGCAAGGCATTAAGAAGTCCGGCAAGAAATAAACGGATCGCATACTTCTCGACGAATCACTTGCCAAAACTCCCCACAACGAGCCTTGACACCGGGTTTCCTGAGTCCATATTCACGACCTACACGAGCCATGTTCAATGAGAGAGCGGAGGATGGGTGGCTTCGAATGTGTGATCGCGCCAGCATCACTGCACTCATGGTTCATTCCTATGGGTCTTCTGTATATCTTTAGCCACCAATACCTATTTCGCGCCTGATCGCATTTTCACATACATGAGTTGCTTAGAATGATCAATTTCATTAAACAGTAACGAGATTAGTCAGATCAAAATACATCAACATAAACCGCCACAGCTTGGGCAAATTCCGAATAAAGTGGGTATCAACCTGCCATGCAGGGGAATCGAACGCTCAAAACACAACCACATGCCCCAATATCGGAAATAGAACAAGCAAACTGCCTCGAAAAATAGGTACAATCAAACATAGACCAAATCACCACTCAGCTGCCATTAACTAGTGACTCGCTTCACCCAGAGGTTATTGCCATCGCCAGAATTCTCCTTCTCGTCCAGACGACGCCACGCTCGACTAATCTTCATACCAAGATCATGCTCTTCTTTCTTGATATCCGCGATCTCGCCTTCGATGCCCTTGATGCTCTTCTGGACCTCGGCTTTGGCAGCCAGGTCATACGCAGCCGAGGTAGGCTGAAGGGCCTTGTTCAATTCAGCGATCAATGACTCCAGACTATATCTGCGCTGAGTTAGGTCGTCCCTCTTGGTCTCCATTACTTTAATGCGGCCCTCCGCATCTAGTGGCACCTCTGGTGGAGGTGGAGGCGAAGGTGACTGCGCGGGCATCTGTCCACCCTGTTGTGCGACCTGGGATGGCGTGGGCTTTCGGACGGGCTTGCTCGAGTCAGGCTGTTTCTTCGAAGTCGGCACGCCGGTTGGGACTGGACGGCGTCGGGCCATGATAGAGGATGTGGATAGGTCGTCTGTAGACCGAGTTTCGAGATGCATACTCTCCCGCGGGCTTGCATCTTGACTGCCGGGTTCGGTGGCCGTGTATGTCGTTGCGCTGAAACGGCTCCTAGGCTCGTCGCTCATGAGCATCATGTCGCTGAAATCGGTGTCGAATTTGAGTAGTGGTTTGTCCTCCACTGGTAGACGGGTTGGAGCGTGCTCCGTGGCCGGTCTCCGGGGAAATGATACTGGACCACCGGCGGTGATGGTAGTTACAGTTGTAGGCGCAAAGCTAAAGTTATCGAGCTGGGGACTCGTCTTTAGCGCGCCGTTGCCGTTGCGCTTGCTGGAATGCTCTTCCACTGGAAATCCACGTGACGCCGATCTACTTCTGGGTTCCTTTTGCGAAAGATCTTCGGTCTTCGAGAAACTGCTGATCCGGTTTCGAGCTGCGTCGAGAGTCTTTTTGGCATTAAATCCTTGGCCCCAGTTTAGTAGGTTGGGCGCATTGGCCCCGGGGGGTTTGTGGAAAGAGGTGTTGCGGGGATCAACCTGGCTAGGTCTACCAAAATCATTCATGGTTGGTTCACCTGAAAAGTTATCCCAGCGCGTCGATTTGCCAGAGATAAATCGCCTAGAGTTCTGTTCATGGTAGGGAGGCTGAACAGGTTGGACAGGCTGAACCCGGGAATGAGAGGGTGTCTCGACATAGTCTATCTTGGGAATAGGAGTTGGCGATGACGAGACCCCAGACTCCTGTCGCGCATAATCAGAAAATTGGTCACCGTCACCGATTGGCGAGACACAGAAACTACTTTGGCTTGCCCGCCTATGGGCTTCAAGCATCGGCGAAACAGCGGGGGAGAGGTCTGAGTGTCCCCTATTAACAGGATCCGGTTGTAACGAGGAATGCAAATCGCTGATTTCAATTAGATGTGCTATTCAACACGTAGAAAACATGAGACTTACTCAGGTAGAGCGGGCAATTTTTTTGCGACCATATCATGCACAGGGTCTGATGTGGTGGGTGGATTGCCGCTCAGTATGGGGCCGCTGATCGAGGGCCGTTTGGGCTTGTGGAACGGTCTTTTAGACCACATGTCGATTTTCTCACGCTCTAAACGTGACAGGTGGCTGATTTTGGTCGGAAATGAAAGCGCAAATTTCACATAAAACGATGAAAAAGTTCAAGTCAAGATAAAAAGGCTGAAAGGGAAATGAAAAGAGGTAAAGGATCGCAAAATGTAGAAGGGGCTCTGGTCTTCTCAGCCTCGATGCCCAACCCAACACGGAAGCCTATAGAATATAGGAAGGAGAAAATTATACAGGGAGAAATGACTCGAACGACTAAGCAGAAATGCAAAGAAGAACTAAACAAGAAAATCAATGATAAAAATAACTTGAAATAACATGGCCTCCGCTAATATTAATAGAAGTGGGCAGATTAAAATGGGGGGGCGATAGTCCAGTGGGGAGAGCTCTTGAAACATTTCAGGGACTACCGGGCGTTTTACGTTTTTTGAATCTGAAGTCCGAGAGCCTAGTCTCCAATCAATTTACATGTGAGAGAAGTACCTAACTAGATAATTCCTAAATATAAACCCCGAAGCAGCTAAAGAAGCCAAAGAATGAAAGAGAATGTCTACTTTGTATAAAAGGTCCAATCACGTGGAGCGGGGAGAGATATGTCATCCCGAGCCTCCGGCCTTTCCTGCTCTCTCTCCAAATCCAACCATTTGCCTCAATGGGTATGTGTTCCACGTTGCTCATGGTCTGAATACACGCTAATCAGGTAACCACAGATAACTCCGCGCCACAGGCTGAAGTGTTCGTGTCCCCCACGTCATGGAAGATGGGACACCAACCCAACTAACCGCTCGCTACCCCAACAGGATGTCTATCGCTTCCCCCATCAACCTGATCCTAGTCTCCCTTTTCGGAGTCTTGGTGTACTGGCACTTCCGCCCCAAGGCGCCAATCACTCTCCCCAGCGCTCCGCCGCCAACCGTCTTCAAGACCTATACCCCCAAAAGTCTTATTGAGTTCAACGGCGAGGAAGGCCGCCCCGTTTACCTATCCGTCCGTGGCCGTGTCTTCGATGTCACCCCTGGCAGGAACTTCTATGGGCCTGTATGTGTTTGGAATCCGGGAAATTCCACCGGATAGCGCCGTTGGAGCCGAAGCTGACCATAACGATTGGAATAGGGTGGACCTTACGAGAACTTCGCTGGCCGGGACGCCTCGCGCGGCTTGGCTTTCCAGAGCTTCGATGAGGAGATGCTGACCAAGGACCTATCGGCACCGTTGGATGACCTGAAGGATTTGGATGCGGAGCAGCTGGAGAACCTACAGTCGTGGGAAGACCGCTTCTTGGAGAAGTACCTGGTTGTTGGAAAGTTGGTCGCCGAGGGCGATCCTGAAGCGCCCAAATCGTGATCGCGCAGCAAAAGGATTGGAGAGATACATATTTCGGAGGGTATGTACGACAATGGCCGATATCTAGCGTTTACAAGGACGAGCATGAGCTTGGAAAACACGACGAACCTGTGATTTATTTTTCGGCATCAATTCAAAACCGGCGCAACCGGATCTCGGGGTTATTTGCAATACTATCTCAGGTCCCCAGAATGTAACCCCAACTAGCCAGTGCTCTACCACTAGCATTAACACAGTCAAAGGTTATAAATAGAAAAGTCTATTACACAAAGTATGCTTATTTTACTGCCTTCGTATATTCGTATACACCTAAAAACACCTAAAAAGAACATCTGAAAGAACACGCAAGGCCGCGTAAGCAGCCGACTATTCTTGTAATAATACAATAAAAAGTCCGAGCCCACTCTCCCTACAAAACCGAAAAGGGGTATGGCAGGCCAGGAAGAAGTTGCCTGGGCCAGTCCGTCAGGTGCAAGATATCCTGCAGGCCCTTAAACGAGTCCCATTTATAGTCCCACTTGTTGCATCTCGGTCGATCGGATCTTCCATTCCACTAGTGTTCAAAATCAGCAATGATTGGATCCCCGGTTAGGAAGTTACTGAACAGACGATCTTGCCCCTTGAGCTCCACTTAGCAGAGAGATGAGTTCGGGACAATCGTTGTGTCTAAATGCGGTTGTAAACTGCGGCTTGTGAATCAAACCTACATAGGTATGAATGATTACTTAGTCAACCCTAATGAGATAATGCGCCCTATCTTACAGATCTTCAAGTTCATATTTCCAGAACATGGGGATAACAGGCGTGCCACTACTAGCCAGTCAAACCGCCTTAGTATCAACATTGGGGCTCGATACCTGCCAGAGACAATTCGAACCATCATGCTTCACTATCAGGAACAATACAAGCTGCTTCCAACGAGTCCGCTAGGGCCTCGAGAATTCTGTCATCGGGTTTCATATCATCAAACCTTCCAGTCACGAAACAATGCCAGTTTGTCTCGTTTTCTTGTGCAAAGTAACCGGTAGTGGACCCTGGAAGTGATTTGATTGGATATGAGGAAGGGGGCGGGAGTGCGAAGCGTCCACGGGTGGATCGCGGGAGGCTGCAGATCAGGAAGCCACGTGACTACAAGGGATATCAATGTTTTTCACTGAATTATACAGTCTGTTGATCATTATTGTTGGGGTTATAGTATGTAGAACTATAAGCGGAGGAAGGGAGTTTTATCCGCAAGGAGACAATCTCTCGAACTATCCAACCACTGAGATGTTGCTGCCCGAGGTGCCAACAACCTATGGCATCTACTCCAACAATACTGTCTTTCTGGATATATTAGTACATGAATACATCATGGGTTGAGTGTATATCATACAAAATGTATACCGAAATCTCCTCTTCTAGCCAGTCTCAAAATTTTGTAGTCCATCCCACAGCATATGAAAGTGTTCCCGGGACCATGGGACTTTAGCTTTCCTCCTGACTCTGAAACTTGATGGCAGAGCTATCATTGATCACGACTAGATCCGGAACTTCCCTATACCATGTTATTTCCGGTATACTGGCCTTAAAATCTGCCATTTGGAGTTGATGATTGCGCTTGAAGTAACGCAGTCACCGGCCGGCCAAGGATTTCATTCAAACGCCCCTGCAAACCGGCATCATCCCTTAGTACGAGTTGTTTCTCGGATTTCGACCTTTCTAAGGGAGACTATATCACAGTAAGTAGACAAATTAGTATACATATATGGATAGATCGTGAGGATAGTGTGTACCAAAATGAAGATATTTAGAACGACATTGCAGACGACTGTTAAATATAACCTCCAAAATATGTTTGAGCCAGGTGTATCAAATTATTATAGTCCTGCATTGTCAAGGGCAGAGGCTGTATAAGCAGCCTGCTATACTAAACAGAGTAACTTAACAGAGTGAGATTGTGACTTGCTCGGTATATGATAGCGCAGTGATTCGGGAAAATAGAGGTATGAGAGGAAGGCGAAAGATGGGGAAGTTGTGGTTATTATACGTTTCCGCTGGGGGAGCGCGTAAAGAACACTTACGCTGCAGCTATAAGCCATCCAATCACATCCTATGTAAGCTTGCAATGAAAGCATCAGTGTTACGGACAACAAAACTAGCAAATGTCCTATAATACCAAGTCTACAAAAATCCATATCACGCTTGAAGACTATTTAATAGTTTGCAATAAAAACATTCGAACTCAAATGTTACAATCCAAATGTCATAATCATCGTAACTTAAAAGATATCGCAAAACCCATCGTGCATCCCAACTTTGTCGCGGAAGAAAAATAATAAGAAAGATCTGAATATGAGGAGAGTAGTTCAAAGTTCTCCGCGCAGGCTCTCTGTGTGCTGAGAGACCTTCTTCTGAACCTTTTCAGCGGCTTCAGTGCCTTGGGCACGGCCGCTAGCAGCGCCAATCTTCAACTGATCCAAAACCCACTGCAAAGTATCCACAATCTTGGCATAGATGGTAGCTTGCGGGCTTGCGGTGCCGTACTTAAAGTACTGAGCGTTGCGCCGGGCCGCAGCTCGGAGCTCATTGATGCTCGAGCCCTGGTACGTAGGAACGCCGTAGTTGTCCAGGTATCTTTTGAGCTCGGATTGCGACCATTGGTCGAAAGTGGCATCCTTGGCTGTGCCAGTCGCCTGCGCAAGGGCAGCAGTTGCAGAGGCGTACTGTTCACCGCCAACCTTGGAGGCCTTGGCGTAGGAGTCCTCTGCACTCTTAATAAGCTCTTCGCGTGAGGCATCAGCCTGCTGAGCCACCTTGTGGTTCACGGCAGACAGGTAATTCCTGAGAAAGGTAAGCCAGTGAGATCATAAAATCAATAGTCAGGTATGTACTTACACCAGGTGCTCTTTATCCCAAGTATCGAAGTTGTATTGGTTCCACCCATTGGCAGCCTTGTGAGCGTTGGCGCGAACCGTAGCAACGAGTTCATCACGCTTGCCGCTCTGAGGGACAGGGATGCTTCGAGCATCAAGGAACGCCTTCAGGCGGGAGTTAGACCAGCCACTCAGCGCAGTTTCGAAAGCATCTTCGATCTTCAGCTTGGCATAGTCGGTAGCGCGTGCATATTCGTTCCCAGCCTTGGTCGTGGCGGCACCAAACGTCTCCTCCACAGCGGAGGAGGCACTCGACACCTTGCCGGAAAGATAGTAACGGTTCTTCCGGGCCAAAGCAATGAGTTCATTGCGCTTCGAGCCTTGGGGCACCTTGACATTGTGCTCGTCAAGGAATTCCTTTAGCTTCGAGTCGGACCAGGCGTTGAAAAGCTGATCACTCAGTGTCTCCTTGGCGGCTTCAGCCTCAGCGGATGCAGATGCAGCAATGCTTTGGGACTGCAAACTGATAATGCGCGAGTTGCGGCGAACAGACGCAATGAGCTTGTCACGATTGGACGGCTGGGGCACCGGCCATCCGCGTTCATCGAGCCATTCCTTGAGATCCGAGTCGGACCATTCCTCATACAGCCAGTTTCCGGGGTAAGAAGCCGTCTCGCCAACCTTGGTGGCGATCTTCTCATAGTTCTCGCGTGCGGTCTTGATCAAAAGGTCGCGCCTGCGGGGCTGGGGAGCAGGAATGCCGTGGCGATCAAGGAATGCCTTTAACTGAGAGTCGGACCAACTATATCAAGTCAGCTTTCACTCATAACAGGGAGATATGAGCACCTTACGTATCAAAGACCCATTCTCTAGCATGGTGGAGCTCATGATTGATGTTCTCCGCAGCTTGCCCAAGAGGCTTCTGCACCCTGTTATCCCAATTGGTCTTCACCAGATTCTCCAGGTCGCGGCGGTCGGCAGGACTGGGATGGGGAATATCTGTATGAAGTGTGAGTATATGAAGCTGCTAGAAAGAGAAGTGCTACATACTATGGTCTGAGAGCCATCGCTCGAGCTCGGATTCATGCCATTTGTTGTAGACTGTCGATAACGTTAGCTTGCGAAAGGGGATCTTTGTACGCAGGACAACATACTAGCTTTGCTCCACCAACTGGAAGCTGCCACTACTTCAGTGGAAGCGAGCAGGCAGAGGAGGCCAGTGGCCAGATTCAACTTCATGGTGTATTGTGTTGGACAAAATGATGGAAGTATTTTGGTGTTCAGCAAGAATGGAGTATGAATATGCCGGTGAAGGGAATAGGAACGTTGGAGGACTTTAAAGAGAGCTGCAAAAGCAAGAAAGGGCCAAGCATGGATGATTGCGCAGTGACGTAGTTGGGGAATTTGCCTTGAATTGAACTGGAGTGCATGAATCATCAGTTCATTGGATTCTGCCCATGTCTGGAACATTGTCATAATTCTTTCAGTAAGTATTTAATATATTTAATATACATAATTTATAGAATATGTATCTGTATACATGCCACTTTTTTTCTATATAACGCTCTCCTGCCCTATATCGTAGTTTCTATGAATTACCTGATATGGTTTGGCGTGCCACTTTGGGTTAAGCGTATTCCTGCCCTTCCTATTAAAGTCCCTTCACCGCTCACCTACCTCTCTCACTTCTCCCATGTAGCTCCAAGTCTGAGCTCTGGTCTTACTTCTAAAGTACTACTATGCACCCAGATATATACCTGAAAAGAAGCACCTGATGGAAAGTTCCATTTGGGTTCCTCCACAAGACCATTATGGACAGAAGTTTATAAACAGAACCCTTCCTGATCCATATCCGAGCACAAGAACATTGCCATAGATCGCGAAGCAGCTGGGTCGGTACTCTGGGGGCAGCCATAATGTCTTTCGGCGGTTAAAGGTCACCCAGTGTGACTCTAATATGGAAATCTCCACATCATCCCCTGAAGAAATGGGACTTTGCCAATACTCAGGCTGGATGTCCAGGTATCCAAAATCAGTATTCAAATATGAGCCATCTCGAGAGAACCTTAATCTGAGGATATATCCCACAGATCTCCAGATCTGTTTTTTATCTCCTGTAGCAATATCTAGGAGATAGATATCCCCTCTATTCTCACCAATCAAATAGCAGGCAATAAACTGGCCATTGGGAGAGAACTCCAACCTGAAAACAGTCATCGGATGGCATTCAAATGTTTTCTCCAAAGAGCCTGTTGCTGTGTTCCAAAGCTTGAGCGTTTCATCGTCTGAGAAAGTTGCTAGAAGCTGGCTGTTTGGCGAAAATGATAGACCCCGAATATAATCCGAATGCCCACCCAGAGTATGTTTCAGGCGGAAAGAGCCTGTCGCGGTGTCTGCATCCCAAAGCTGAATGGTTTCTGAAATGGAGGCTATAATGCGGCTACAGGGAGAGAAGATCACCCGACTAGTCTCACATGGCCCATCTGCAGAGCTCAGACCCTGAAGAGTTGGAATGGGTACAATTGTGGACTGGGTTATTCTCCACAATATGATATGTTTGTCGACTGATATAGAAACGAGAACTTCGCCACTGGGTGCCAATGCAATGCCTGGTCGAGGGGAACTTCCCAATATTTGCTTTTGGGATAAACTGCCCGTCTTTGGGTACCACAGTGCAGCTGTTCCATCATCCGAGCAACTGACCAGGGTCTCACCATCAGTGGAAAAGGTCAATGAACAAACCCTGCTTGAATGACCCTCGTAAGACTGTTCCGGCTTTGGTATACCTGCACCAACATGCCAAATTTTGACCACTTTATCCTCCGAGGCAGACGCAAGAAATTGGCCGTTGGGAGAGAAAGCCATAGATAATACGGTATCAGCGTGTGCGCCAAAAGGAGCATGCAAAATGCCTGTCGACATATCCAATATCGTTATTTGTGATTGGTCCCGTGCAATGGCCAAGAGCTTGCCGTCGGGAGAAAATGCTTGATCACAATTGCAATATCTGCCTTCAAAGTTCTTCAGGGGAAGACCCGTGTCAGGATCCCAGGACGATAACAAAAACTCATGCGATACAGTCACGAGAACATTCTCGGTGGGTGAGAAGATTCCGGCAAATGTCCCAACCGGAAGAATCTTCTCTGCGCCAGTCACAATATTCCAGATCCTGAATCTATAATCCTCGCATAGTATCCCGAGAAATTGACCAGTATGAGAGAATGAGAGGCATCTTACTTGCCTTGTGTAGCTTTCCAAGGTCTGCTGAAGATTGCCGGAAGCAAGGTCCCACAACTTCACCGAGCCATCAGCTGATGCGAACGCTAAAAGCTGGCTATTAGGGAGAAATGCTACACACTGAACATCTCCTAAGGTGTTGGCTGTTTCCTTCTCAAAGCAATCTTCGATCATATTCCAGAGGAAGAGTGTGGGGTGATTGGGGTCACATGCAGGAGAAACCAAGAAGCGGCCGTCAGGAGAGAATATCGGACTGCGAGGGGAGCACTGTGGATGGCTAAGTGTCCGCTGCAATGTACCTGTGGTGGGATCCCAAAGCTTAAGAGTGTGATCCCGAAAATTGGTGGACGCGAGGAATTGACCATTTGGCGAAAAATAAATCCGCGAAACGTTCCATTTACCATTTGGATGCTGCCCCAAAGACTGCTTCAAGGCGCCTGTCATGACATCCCAAAGCTTAATACTGCCATCATAAGCAACGTATGCTAAAATTTGGCTATCCGGGGAGAAGGATATGCCCCCCACCCGCAAGAAAAGATCAAAAGAGTGAATGTCTGCACTCCAATTCGCTTCAACGTCTGGGACTTTGGAAATCCACGTAGGAAGGTACTTAGTGAAGGCCTTTCGTATAATCGAGTTTTTCGGAGCAAATAGAAGACCTGAGCAATAAAGCTGGAGAGGAGCTTCATTTGCTATGGCGGTATTCCTTGACGCAAATCGCCTGGCATCCTGTAAATACTCAGAAAACTCATGGGACTTGTGGCTCTGCCTTGATCAGCTTCATCATGGATACGTATCAAATAATGAATAAACTCACATCTAGCCAAGGGTGTAGGAGGTCAATGATTCCTACCACTTCGTGTGCAAGGCCTAAAATCCCCATTGCCTCCATCCAGTGGAGGAAATGTGTCTGCAAGAAGGCGAGAACTTTAGGCAATGACTTTGAGTCGTCACCCTGCGTGAAATGATAGGCCCAGAAACGACACGAGTACTGAAGCTCGGGGGAAGACAACGGCTGATAGATGAGATGCTAATCTCGGATCTTTGACTTCCATCATGTTCAAGTCCACAGATGTTCTTTTGCAAAGTTGAACAGATTAAAAGACATCTAGCTGCCAATTTCGAGTGTGCCACCTTGCTATCTATCGCGAATGGAGTCTTCTCACATGTCTGCGGATCAAGGAGAAAATCTCTAAATGATAGATGGAAAAGTCTTACCGGTATGATTTCATTTTGCGGGATACTCAGTACCGAGTTCAATGAGCTCAATCTCAACTTGATGACGTTTTGGGGGATGCCAAGAAGTGCAGAGATCGAGATAACAGACAGAGGACTTTCAAGGATGACGATTGTACCAACTACGTCCTGAAACTCATGTATAAGCTGCTTCTTTTGTTTCTCGGTCTGATTGAGAAGAAGTCGACTGAATATAGGGAGGTATGTTCCATGAAGACTAGCGCTCTCCCCTCGACAAGCAAGGATCTCTTCGAGGCTGTCTACAGGGTCCCATTGAAGATCATTAAGTATGCGACACATGGTAGCAGCAAAGATGAAGAGTGGAACAGATATTTTTAAAAGCTGTTGAGTTTTGATGTCTCCAGGCCAGTCAACAGATAATGAGCGTTCCCTCCCGATTTGAGCTAGTCGGTGCTTCAAAAATAATAATATGTCGTGTGCAGTGACGTCTTCCGGCAACTCATGGAGTGTGAGATTCTTGTAGTCCTGATTGGCCATTTTTGAAAACCCAAGACGAATTGGCAACTCTGGCCTACTCGTCAAGAAGACTCGAATCTGTACTGTTTTCGACTCTTGAAGATGTGGCATCAATTGAAGAATGACCCGTATATCATTCTCTGATTCACACTCGTCTAGGGCATCAATCACGATCACCAATATTCGGTCTTCACGCGAGCTTTTCAATTGAAGTAATGGTTCAAGCAGAAGCTTGTTGAATTGTTGTTTGAGCCCTCTGGTCGCAATGGCAGGGTCATCATGGATTGCTTTTCGAATCGTAGGAGTCAGTTCAGGAAGCTTGATCATGAGTTGTTGCGTCAATGTCGTGAATAACTTTGTCGCATTTCCTCGGTCCGCTTCACCTCTTTTGAAGAAGAAGCTGGCGCCCAGCTGCTTATTTTGTTTGAAAGACAGGGCTACTGTGCGGGATATGGTCGATTTTCCAGTTCCAGCCATTCCATTCAACCAGAAGATGCAATTGCCTTGTGGTAATGCTGCCCATGCTGCGATCTGTTGCTGGAGGTCTGTTCTGGTCCCTTCAAGGCACTCGTCTTCGTGCTGATCCATGTAAGAGTCAAATTCAGCCCCATGGGCAACTGGCAGTTTTTGCATATCCATGTTTTGATCAATCAAGCTGGTTGTTCCAGCCATATTGGTCATGATTGTCCTGATAGATGAACAGAGTCAGCTTTGTTAACGTCACGAGGAATACCCAATAATGCAGCTAACACCCACATTTGATCAACCTGCAGCGACAAAGAAAATGACGACTTATATCTCTCAATATCACCCATCACTTTTTCGACCTCTGAACGCTTCAGCGGCCATTTCAGGGCTCGCAATCCAAGTCTTTTCATCGCTTTCTTGCCCTTTCCCATGCCAACTTTCCCTTCAAGGGCTTCTAGTGTCAAGAGACAAGTTCGGATATCATCTTTCAACACAAGTGTAATACCCAACCCTGAATTAGGATTATTGAGAATAGCTGCAAGGTTCTCAAGAACACTAATGAGACCGTTGATCGCTTGTCGCAGAGCAATGATGTCGGCGCTAGCATCCTTTACATCTTGGATGTAACCACCGCATAGTTTGGCAATAGATCCAGCCAGTTGGATCACACCAATAATACTGGCTGCTACTGAGAGGCCGTCCATTATGCGTTGTTGAGGAAAGCCGAATCCAGGTCATTGTTCAGCCATTGTTCAGCTGAGAAAGCGGGGCAGATGCATAAGACCAAATTCTTCTTCGAGACTTAGCCGTCTCATCAAAAGGAGATTGCGTCCTCAAATTTTGAACAGAAAAAAAGAGAAAACTGTAAATATATAAGAAAGTAAAGATTCGATATCTAGAGGTGTTTGGCACGACCTACAAAGTATGTACAAATAGTGGAACGTCTGACACTAATCCTTATTAGGCATAGCAGAAGATACTGACACCATATATTTAAGGCAGCAAGGCATCAAGGCAGCCAGCTAGTTAACTAAAGAGCGGTGCCCAACGAGGTACTCAAGGTCATAATATCTTGGGAATTCCTTTTCTTTCTTTTTGAAAATAACATTTCCCTCTCATCTCGTTGAAGTAAAAAACGAAATCCCCAATGTGACGAATTGGTGTAATCAGCTGTTGTCACGAGCTTCCGAACCCCGACCTCCTCATTTGAGCTTCATACATTTGAAAGACAACAACAATGGACCCATTAACACCCTACTGCCGCGAGCTGGCCTCGCCAGGCATCTTCCAACCTGTGCTATCTGTGTACGTGCCCCAAATGTGAAACCAACAGTCTCCAGTCACTGACGCACCATATAGTTTGATTATCCTCGGCATCCTCTTCTCATACCTCCCACAACACATCCGCATCATCTCCCGACGAAGCTCCTTCGGCATCTCCCCATACTTCATCCTCCTAGGGGTCACATCAGGGACATCGGCATTTGCCAATATCCTAGTATTCCCATCCACGGCACAAGATGTCGCCTGCTGCCAGGAGATCAGCGGGATCGCATGCTTCGCAGGGCTACTGGGTGTATTCCAGGTAGCCATGCAATGGCTCTGTTTCTTTTCCATGTGAGTCGACCGAAACGCTGAATGATTTCTGATTCCCAATTTCCGACCGAACATCCACACCCGAACCCACACCCAAGCTTGTCTAACCGTATCTAGTCTTTTGCTATTCGTGATCTACTTCCCGCGCGCCACATCCCCCACAGACCCAGTGGACACCGTCTCTTCCACCCCCAGCGGTCCGACCTACCGCACCGCGCTCGTCATAACGGGAATATGTCTACTGCATGCACTTGCCACGATCATCATTTCCCTAGCGATCGAGTTGCGCCAGCCGGCTGCTGTCCCAGCCTGGGCGAACTTCCTCGGTGTTCTAGCTGCGATCCTCGCGTCGATCCAGTACTTCCCGCAGATCTACACTACCTTCCGGTTGCGTTGCGTGGGGAGCTTGAGTATCCCCATGATGTGTATCCAGACGCCGGGGAGTCTTGTCTGGGCTGCTAGCCTGGCTGCCCGTAAGGGTTGGAGTGGCTGGAGTATTTGGGGAGTGCTAGTTGTCACGGCCTGCTTGCAGGGTACCTTGTTGATGATGGCAATCTATTTTGAGTACTTCGGGTCCCACGACAAGCGGGAGTTTGGGCAGCCGGCTAATCAGAATGGGGCACCCAATGGATCTGCTCTTACTGGTGAGAGTGCCCAGCAGGAATTTGCGCATGAGGAGCGGCCATCCGAGGAGACACCACTACTTCAGAGCCAGTGATGTGCGCATAACATATTTGCTGCGTGTTTCTTTTTATATGGTGCTAGCTCGTAGCTCGATAGAGAAATCCCATACAGTTCTAGAATGATCGGCGATCCAAAAAAATAAATTCTTAATAAATTCTTCCATGGGAATATCGCAAGTCGAGGGGTGTCACTTGCGACAATACGACAGATATCTAACCCGATCGCCTCCAAGGAATATCCTCTTCACAAGAAAGTACATCCCCCTGTCATTGCGTCGTGGTATTTGTTTCGGGGCCCGTAATTTACTGGGCGCTGTAGATCAGACGGAAGACATCGTTGAGCACGAAGTAGCTTCCGGCGCCGTCGGGCTGCAGCTTGAAGCACTGGGTGTAGTTCATAGGCTTCTGCTCCTCATCGACCTGTTGATGGAGAAATTGACATTAGCTAAGAAAACAGAAGAAGTCATGGGCATTCAACATACGAGGAGAGCGCCGGTGACGAGGACAACGATTCCATCTGCGCTGGAGGGCTGGGCGTCGAAGGTGGCAATCTGGTGCTGAACCTTCTGGAAGGGGAGAGCCTAGAGTCGCAAAATCAGTATTAGAATATTCTTCTCATGTTGACCCTCGAGGGTCAGGCTTTGGGGGTTGACTAACGCTGAGCTTCTCAGTGATGGCAGAGACACCCTGGACCGAGCTTGTCTCGAAGGTAAGCATAGACTGGTCACGCTATTGGTTGATGATTGCTGTTAGTCCGATTCACATATCTCTCGCTGGTAAGGATATCTCGAGAGAGGGGCTTACGTAGAGGCCAGCCAGGCCAGCGCGGTTTCCGTCAAAGGTCTGGTAGTAGAACTGCACAAACTGCTCTGTACAGGTTGATCACAAGTTAGGAAATTATTATTTTTGTATGATATAACATCCATCTCTTGGGGAATCGTTTCCACCTAGGGTGGCAGGATCGTTGGGGGGGGAGCCGCATTGCTGGATGTGTATGGATGAACCAAGAAAGTGAGGGTATAACGTACGGGCGATAGCGTTGAAATCTGTATGAATCATCAAGCTTGTCAGTCAATTTTCCATCTTTATGTTCACTCTTTTTTTTCCTTCTTCGTCAAGTCCCCAACGCATTGCGCAACATAGTCACACACTGTCTGGGATCCAAACGATCAGACCCCTCCATCCCCTTCGGGAGGGGTATACACAAGCCAAGTCAGAGGGAAAGACGTACCAGCCATTTTGAAGAAGTTGTGGGTTTGGAATGAAAGAAGGAAAAAGGTGATGCGATTATATTTGAAGGGTACAGGAAGTTGAGCGCGAAAGGAGAAAGGTATTTGTTGATGAGGGGTTGTGGGGCAGGAAATGTTCTGCCGATGATGCCTCGCTGCCTTATGTATTGAAGAGCCTCTGCCGTGACAGGTCTCGTACTACTGTCTCTATCTATATAACCACAATGCTTTAACCTTGGAAGAGAAAATATTTTAAATAATCATTCATAGTTCATTGTTATTCATTACAAGTATCTTTCAGGTATCATCCGATGCTATCCATGATCTGTACAATTACAATCGTGCCCAACCTTACTCCGAATCCGAGGCAAACATGTCTTCAGCTTTGGGTCGTGGCTTTCGTCGTCGTGTTTCTGGCTCCTGCTGCCCAGCTGATTGTTCGGATTTGTCAGATTGGGTTGGGTGCTGAGGTAGCTGCTGGGGTATCTCGGTTTGGGTATCTTCATCGCCCGATGGGGGGGGCTTAAGCATGAATTCCCCATCAACGTTCTTCAAGTGACAGATTTCCATTGGGGTTCCATCCTTTCCATGCATTGATTCGTCCACTGCGTTGGTAGAGATAGATAGATTGTTCTCATTCGCAGGGAGAGTAGGGTCGAACTTTCCGCCCCGCTCATCATCAACTGTCTTCCATCGACTCTTGCTTTTGGCAAATGCAACAGCAGCCTGGTCTGCATGGGCCTTCTCGGTCTCCTTCTGTTTCTGCAATTCTGCTTCTGTAAGTGGTGGATTTTCAAACACTTGAGTGAAATGATCCTGGTTCGATTGCGTAAAACAGCACCACCCTTCCCACACATGTAAAAGGGAGCCAACGCTGCGCTTCCACTTCTCTGCTTTTAGCCGTCCCCACTTCATGTCCTTATCCAGTCGACCAAGGTGTTCAAACACCTTGCGCGAGCGAAGAGCGTTTTCGAACAGCTGGCGGTATCGCCATGCATGGCGGCCGCCACTGGTTGCCGACGACGAAAGAATATCAGAGATGATATAGAGGCCGACCAGCTTCGCAGAAGACATATCTATTAATTCATCGGATTGGGTTGTATTGTCCGTATCTGTGGTCGCAAGTCTAGCAGCACTTTTTTCCAATTCCTGGTTTGGGTTGGCTCCGGTGTAAGCGAGTGGCCGGAAAACGTTTCGAATAGCCACGTCGACAATCTCGGATGCCCCGATTGCCGCGTGGTCAATGGCGAATGCTGTGACTCGCATAACGTCTCCTCGTCGGAGCTTTGCATGGGTCGTCGGAAGTCGTGCAAGGAGATGAGTAAGTCTGGCCATCTTCAGAGGGTTCAAGAAGTTAGGTTCATCGGCGCGTGCGTTCGGCTCATCCGAGTGTTCTTCGTCAGATGAGTCGTAGTCAGGGTGTGTCACAAATTGCTCCAGGCGAGTAACGTTCTCAAACTTGAGATGCTGTTTGGGGGTAACCAGATCGGACCATCTTCAAAGATCAGAGCCGGCTTATCAATGTTCTTCTTCTTGGGGTCTGTGATTATCTGCCACAATTTCCACCGGTAGTATACACCACCAGGCGACCTTGCATCGAACAACCAGGACCACTTTTCGTCCATCTGGACTTCTGGCCGACTCATCAACAATGCCTCAAATGAAGGACCATGTTTCACAAGTCTCTCAATAGTCTTGTGTATCTGTCTTAACACTCTTATGTCTGTCGGTAGCTGCACCTGCACCTGAGTAGTTGGGACATTTCGACCAACGTTTGGTCCATACGAGCTTGGGGGTGCGAATCCCCCCGCGATGTGGCCCAGGTGGTGGAGCCCGACTCATGCTTGTGGTGGAACTTAGTGGAATAGGCTCGGCACCAAACGGAAGAGAAGTAGTAGTCGACGAGATGCCGGTGGCCAAAGGGATGTTTGGATTGATCGCAGTAGAAGAAAGGTGTCGGCAGAGGTTCAGGTAGTACCCCCAGCCAAGGTATTTGTTCTGCAGCGCACTCACAGCTGCGTCAATATTGGAGGCGGCTGAGTCGCTTGCAAGGGTGATGATGGCAGAAGAGGATTCCCGGTGGGTTGGCAACTCTCCCGGCGGGGTGATGATCTTGACATTGTCCACGGTGAGGGTCGATGGAATCAATGCCTTAATCACTGACAGAGATGTCCCCGGGGGAAGCGATGCAAGGTACAACGTCGGTTTGGGAGCTGCTCTCTCCTCGTCGAGTGCTCTGTCGGCTTCAGGTGGAGTAAGCATGTTTTCAAATTTGAGATGGTCGCGACGGGAGGGGGGGAAGGTTTCGTGGGAACGTTTGTGTGTAAGAGAGGGGCGGCGGGGGGGGGCTAATGGTCCATGGCCACTGCCGCGCGAAGAGGAAGCTGCGAAGTGACGCCTGGGAGGACCACCACCCCTGCCTCTGAATGCATCCGATCCTCCATCCAATGACTGCGGTACAACCGAATCCTCGTCTTCGAAAGATTTGACAAATTCTTCATAGACTGCAGCTGTCTCTGCCTTTTCCCGGGCGCGTTTGGCCTCCGCCTCAGCTTTTTGACGCTCAAAAAGTGATTTCTTTGGAAGCGCGGAGAGTTTCGCCGAGACGTCGGGGAAGCTCTTCGCCTTCGACTCATCCGGCATTATGAGGATGAACTGCAACTGCAGGAAAAAGTAGCCAGCCTCAGACACAAGCAGGACGAAGCAATTTGAGTAAAATCCGAAGAGACAGTACTCCTAGAAGAGCTAGAAGATCAAAACATCGTAAATAACTGAATTACCTAGGTACCCCATAGTAGGCGGTCGGGCTACATCCAATCATCAGTCGATGCTTTTGGCACGTGCACAGCAGTACTTTTACTATAATTAGTAGGCGGTGAGTGTCCCGAATCTCGGTTCTACTTTATTCCGAGTTTGGGACAGTTTCCGGGGCCGGTACAACCTCATACAGTCACCACACCCCTATGATTATATAATATACTGCCGGTCAGCTCATGAATTCAAATTTAGTATGGTATGTGTCACCGCTTTTAGTAGGCGGTATATATTTGCCATGGCGGTGAGCGGGTGGGGCCAGGGGTGTAAAAACCAATGTCCAGTCAACGTATGTAGCTTCCCCAAAAACCAATTAACGCGTGCAGGGTATTTCTTGGTTAGTGGACTGAATGAATACGAAGCTTTTTAGGTTGTGGAGTAGTCGGGAAAGTTTGGGGCCGAAACACTTGCACATATTTGAAAATGAGGTCGCTGTATTGTGATAAAGTCGGATGATATTAATTCATTGGTGTTAAGTATAGTCTTACCGCTAGGTCTATGCTTACCTACATGTTATGCCTTTTCCGGTCAATGTCGGTAGAAGGAGGTTGGGATAATCTGGGTTTCCAAAAAGCCATGTTGCACATTGTACGGCTCATGGTCTAGCTCTTCTGGAGGTGCATATCCTGCCCGATAAAAATATGGTAGTCTCTGAATCGCTTGTTAAGGCCTCACGGGTCGCAGCGCTCTCAGATCTCGCATGGTCATCATTAGACCGATGAGCTGAGAAATTTAGTATATTTCACTTACTCCACGTCACACTTACTTTCAATTGCCGTCTGTAATATGTATGGGCCATGCGTTGGAAGATTACCCGAGGATGGATGGCCCTGAAAACTACAGACGTGGTATTTCAGGGGGGTGAATCAAGCAAGCGAGGTTTCTTTTGCGTCCTTCTAAGATTCATTGAAGTTGAAGGTCCTTTATATATCTGATAGCTATGTGCTACGCGATAGAGTTGGATCTACATCGGACCATCGACCCTACTCCACAAACTGGGGCCCCTGGTGGACCACCTCGAATGTCTCAGATGACACAACAATGAGCTCCGCGATGCACTGTATCAAGTTGATGAACCAGGTTGGGTGTCAACAAGAGCTTATAAGATGCGTTTGGTATTAGACAAAGGTTAGGATGAAAACCTTGGTAGATATATCAACCACCTATTGTATATTCCTCTATTCTATTAAAGCATTTAAATGAGATTTATTCTCCTTGAGGAATAATTGATTTGCACTTCGCATTTCCACTGTACGACATATGTTATGCAATTCTTGATGGAGAAACGCGGTTGATCTAGTCGTGATCAGGGGATGTATAGTATTTACAAGGTGGGCCACCAATAATGGCCAGTAGATTGAGTAGTTAGGTACATAGTATCAAATTTACATTTCTAGAGTAAGTTTTATAATATTTGCTAATAACATAGAAGGGAAATATAGAGAGATTTTATAGGAATTGAGAATTTCCCAGTCACATGTGACCTACGCTAAATAACTCACTAGTTAGTTCCTGTAGATCTTGATCCCAGTCATTGATGAACCAGGTCTAGAATTAGACCAAGGAACTATCTCAGGTTCTCCTAAAATGTTAGTACAATGGTAGTATATGGATATCAGGTGGAAATCAAAACCGATTTATCCAATATCAGATGGAGTCAGATGGAGTCAGACGGGGTTGGCCCTGGATGGACCCGTTACGCACGCAACCCCGTACTAGAGGGGCTGGACCGAAGAAGCCCTGGACGGCTGAAACTGTTGATCCATACCGCTGTTCCTCGGATATCTGTGTCGAGACCGAATATCGTAACCTTTCTGGGTAGGAGTAGAGAGGCCTCCCATGGATACGATGCCTGATAATGTTCAAGCCCTATAGCCAGGACAATCGATTTTATGAGATCGATTAATCAGGTATATACCCTACACTGACTTCGTATATTGGAATAGACTTTTGTTTCAGCTGCAACATCTGTGAGCAGGGGATGTCCTAGGGGATCATCGGGTTACATATCATGATCATAATCCTGACAGGTGAAGAATTCTGCAACTTCTCGGATTACGATTAGTTCACAAGACGTTCCGAGATAATCCGCTCCTAATGTCTGAACATTTTGGATTTCAAGTTGATTTTTTTTCGCGAATCCAGACTCAAAAGGCCTGAAGATTTGGTTCGGCAGGGTCTAGTTCTCCAGTTCGTGGATTCCAGATTCCAGACCCAAACACACAAAGGGGGTTTGGTATTCTCACGTGAGAAAATGGTACAAATTTGATACTCCGTACTCCGTATAAAAAGTAAAAGAACATTGGAAACTTCGAATTTCTAGAATTAGGACCTAGAACCTGTATTCTTTCCGTATATGGAGATAGAAAAGATCAAAATAGCACAAGATAGCATGCAGAGTGGCGAAGTCGATTTAGGCCCACCACAGACGGGATGGGCTCGCTAGTTGGTCGCCCTAGTCGCAGTAGCGTAGTAGCGGTAGTAGCGCAGTCAGAGGATTCCCAGACACGGAGTAGATCATAGTGCTCCGTACGGAGTACATTATTGAATATCATAATATATCAAAAAAAGAGAACATTTTACTCCGTAGAGAAATAAGAATAGGAAGGGGAAAAAAAACAATACACGAATAGAAAAAAAAAGAAAGCAAATAGTCCAAAAGCCCCGAAAAAATCCAAATCCAAAAGCCAAGAATTTCAGTTGGTCCGAGTGGTTGACTTCTCTGTCTCCCCCGGCTCCCCTCAGTAAACTCGTCACACTAAAGTCTCAAACTCCTCCCTTCCCCCAACTTGACTTTCTCATCCTACAAAACATTTTCTTTCATCTATAATACAAACCTCTTCTGACTTCTTATCATCTTCGGGTTGAAGAGAGTCTGCTGTATCCGCTCCCCATTCCTTGCCCATCCTCGCCGGGTAGCGAAACGGATTGATCAAACAACGAGGTGGCCCGACAGGGCTGCCAGACCGATAGGAAATGTCTGGTCATATTTCATCAGAGCATTCTCGCTCTAATTCACGATCCTCTTACACGCCACGGTCCCCCAGGGATTTCACACCTCGCCACTCCTTCGGTCGCACCTCCATCTCCAATCCAAATGTCTTCGCAGACGAATACTCATTAGAAACCATTGACTCCGATCGCATCGAACGGCCCCACAGTCCCTCGTCCATTGCATCCTCCTCTACTCTTCGTGAAAACACCCAGTCAAGGACCACTAGCACAGCCCCGACCGAGAACGAGAACCCTTTTGGTGATGACGCTCGGGTGTCCTTCGATGAACCTCATCGGTCAAGTCTGCCCCAAAAGGGGTACGCTTTCGCCAATAACCGTAACTCAACCTCATCTCTCAACTCGACGCCTTCCATGATCCAACGAAATCAAAGTGTTTCTTCCCGTTTCTCGATTCCCCGCGCTCTCAGCCCCTACACCGGAGCCACCGGACCCAGCCATCCATATGGTATGTATCCACAAGTTGGGGTCAGCCGGTCGCCCAGTGTCGGTAGTACTTCGACGATACGCCCAATCGAACGTCCACTTGAAGAATCAACTGGTCCACAGCACCCCTACGCGATGTACTCGCAGAATGTGGTTGAGGAAGGAATAGATGACGATATCATCCCAGTCGGATTCCCAGGCCATAACCCACCATATCAACCGCCCGCTGGTCGTCAGGCTGATGATGTGGGTGATATCATTGGACCAGATGGTCATGCAGAGCCGCTACCGCCCTATTCCCGCTATCCAACTGGTGCTGTGCCCAAGCCTCCAGGGGCTGAGACGACGGCCGATCTCAACCCCCCAACAGACGAATACCGTCTCAACAATGAAAGTCCAAGAGCACCACCGATTTCAGAAACCTCATCAAGGCCTTTGGTGCCTGAACATTCTGGTGATGATAACAATGGTGGGAATGGGCATGGGCAGGAAAGAGTCGCTGCGACTACAGGCATCATGGCCTTTGAAGAAAAACTCAAACGCAAGGGGAAACAGACCGCATGCTGCGGCCTGCCGGTGTGGACGTTTGTCCTCATTGCGACTGTTATGCTCATTGGAGGGTGTATTGGAGGTGTCATTGGTGGTGTTCTTGGAACTAAGAAAGCCGCAGAAGCTGAAAAGCAAGAACATCAAGAAGCTCAAAAGTCCAGCGCCTTACCGATTATAACCGTCACTGCAACCCCTCAGATGGATGCGTCCTTGATATCCACCCCCACTTATCTCAAACAAGTACCTACCGGCCACTATATGGTTCCTTCCGGTTATCAGAATGGATCAGGCCTTTGTGTGGACGAGGCGAATTTCGGGAAAGCCTGGAAATGCTTGCAAGCGCCGAGCAAATTCAAGATTTCAGTCGGCGAATACAAAGGTCACCATTCTATCAGTTTCGACGACGTTACTCCAACCCCGACCTTTACATATGGTCCCCAGCCACCGTATTGGTCTTCGTCGCCTACGCAAGCATTGAGCATGGCAATTGATACCACGGATATTGGCATGGGCCCTGCTCTGTTCTTCATTTCTCCGTTCGACAAGTTGGTCATTGTCCCAGACGATACATTCTCTAACTCCCTTTCCAAACGCGCGTGGGTGGACGACGGATGGGCAGCTGCAAACGCCTACAAGAACCTGAAGCAGACTGCAGAAGTCGGCGACAAGCCGTGGTTCTGTTGGTGGAATAACACAATGATGGAGTTCTTCTTGTACGTTAACCAGTCCACGTCGCAGTCGTTGAGCACCACCGCTTCCACCAACAGCGACATGGCAGCAAGCACAGCTGGCATAACTGCTGATTCCAAACGCGATGAATCCACTTCCGATTACCCACGGAG